CACTACCAGAGCACCTTAGTTTTCTTCCTTTAGGTAACTAATAATATATGTACATTTTGAGGTTAATTATTTTCAGTTATTTTAACTATGGATTTTGCATTTATTTTCGGTGTTTTAGTTAAGATTCCACAGTAACCTGTTAAGGATTCCATAAAAATTATCTCCTTAAATTTTCTTATGAAAATGCTTATTTTTTCACATTTTTAATTTAAACATAGATATTAATTACTTTAATTAAATTAAAATCTAATTTCATTTTTTCCCAACTATATATTAAATTCTTAATCTAATTATTTCCTGGTATAGCAATTCCCAAATATAATTAATTTTTTGCTAAGTCTACATGGATGCATCAATAATGCGTGAAAAAAATCCATTATCTTTTAATTCTCTTCTTTCTATACACTTTTGAAGCCCTCTCACATATATAACTGCTATCAGATCAAGAGGGGGGATGAAATGGTTTAAAATCTGGAAAGGTGTATGTCAGGGTTATATTCTTTCACCATATTTATTCAGTCTGCAAGCTGAACAAATAATCAAGACTGTATGAAAAACTTTCAGCAAGCTTGCTGAAAGTGAAGAGGACTTAAAACACCTGCTGATAAAGATCAAAGAGCACAGTATTTGGTATGGATTACATCTCAATGTAAAGAAAACAAAAGTCCTCACCACTGGACCAATAAACAACAGTCTTATCCTTATATCTTCAATAAAGTATTTTTGCCTCTTCAAGAAGAGTGTAAGCTTCTAAGAGGCAAAGGGCATATGTTGTCCTTTTATATTCTGCACGCCTTCAAAATGTTGAACTGGTGGTGGTTTTATATAACTACTGGTTGATGTTTATTTACAATAACTCCAAATGCTATCATTTGTTGAGCTCGCTGGACTGCAAGGTTGGTTTGAACTACAAGGTTGGCAGTTCAAGCTCACCAGCTGCTCCTTGGAAAACCTATACAGGGTCACTATAAGTGTGAACTGACTCAACAGCACTTATCAACAATAATGTATTCATTCAAGCTAGATTCAGAAGAGGACATGGAACAAGGGATGTCTTTGCTTATATCACATAAATCTTGACTGAAAGCAGAGAACACGAGAGAGATATTTGCCTGTATTTTCTTGACTGTGTGGATCAAAATTATGGATAACATTTCAAAGAAGAGTAATTTCAGAACACTAAATTGTGCTTAGGAGGAACCTGTATATAGACCAAGACACAGTCATTCAAACAGAACAAGGCTTTAAAATCAAGAAATATATGTATCAGGGTTGTGTCCTTTCACCATAATTGTTCAATTGGTATGCTGAGTAAATAATCTGAGAATCTGGATTATATGAATAATAACACAGCATCAGAGCTGTAGAAACGCTCACTCATAACCTCCAATATGCAGATGATACAACTTTGCTTGCTGAAAGTGAAGAGGATTTGAAGCATTTATTGATGTAGATCAAAGACTGAATATAACCTTCAATATGGTTCCACCTCAACATATAGAAAACAACAGTCGTCACAACTAGACCAATAGCAACAATATGATAAATGCAGAAAATATTGACGTTTTCAAGGAGTTCATTTTACTTGGATCAACTTGATCGCAGCAATCAAGTGCGTTGGGCAAATCTGCTGCAAAATAACTCTTTAAAGCAAATACTTCACCTTGAGGACTAAGGTGCACTTGAGCCTTAGTATTTTCAGTCATCTCATATTCATGTAAATGTTGAACAATGAAGAAGGAAGACTGAAGAAGATGTGATGTATTCCAATTATGGTATTGGTGAAGAATATTTTATATCCCATGGACTGCCAGAAGAATGAACAAATATGTCTTGGAAAAAATAACAACTAGAATGCTTCCTAGAAGTGAAGATGGAGAGACCTCATGTCACTTTATTGGGACATGTTATCTGGAGGGACCAGTCCTCAGAGAGGGTTGTCCTGCTTTGTAAAGTAGTTGTTGTTTTTATTTGTTGTTAAGTGCCATCGAGTCAGTTCCAACCCATAGTAGCCCTGGATAAAGTTTCCAAGGGGCAGCTGGTGAATTTGAACTACCAATCTCACAGTTCAAACCAACCTTGTGATCCAGTACTTAGCCTACAACACCACACCAGGCCTCCTTGCAAAGTAGTCAGTCAGTGAAAAAGAGGAAGACCCTCAATGAGCTGGATTGACATGACATTGCTCAAGCATAGCATGATTGAAGAGATGGCATAGGACTAGGCAGTATTTTGTTCTGTCGTACATAGGGAGATAAAACTGACTTGATGGCACATAATGACAAAAACCATGTGTTAGCTACTGTAACAGGGATATAAAAATCTCAGAAACAGGAAAGGGGAATAATCTCACTACTATCAAAGAAACAGAGGCAGGAGTGTGATGCATCCTTTGGACCCTGTGATTCTGGCAGGACAGAAAGCTGTGGCACCGGAGGATCTACTGAAGTGGCAGAGCAGCAACAGAGGAACAGTAGCAGCAGACCCAAGAGCTGGATGCCTTTGGGCAGAAGGCTCACTTATATAGTGGGGTGTCTCCAGGCACTTAATTGGGGAGCTAGGTTTGTTGACCCATGGAGCTAGAGCTGAGTGCCTTGTGGTGGTAGCTTACAGCAGTGTGCAGTGCCCTTTGTGCATTTATCAGCAGGATAAGAGAGCTTTGTAATATTGTCCAAGCAGAGCAAAGTCTAAGTGGCCAGAGAGAGGCCTGCTTGTGGACCTGGCAGAGAAGAGGCTGTCCTGACCAAAGGACCGTGCCCTGAAGAGTTCTGGTACTGCACTGTAACCTGTTTCCTTCCCTAACAGAGTTCATAACTCTGAGTGTGGGGTCTGAGTGCCGTGTGACCATTGCAGTTAATTATTGAAGCCAGTTGAATAGAGAGCACTGTGGGAGGGATACTTTGTCTCATTTTGGCAGCTATTCCACTAAAGCATTGCAGGCATTGTCTTATTACAACCTTACAACTTGTACAGCAAAAAATGTTATACTATTGAATCAATGAAAACAATTCCATTTCAAAACATTAGGGAACTTGTTCAGTTACCTAGGTAATAAAAGGTAAAGTAGGAATAAAATTATAGGCTCTTTATCCTGATTGTGCTACATGGCAACACTAGATATGATCATTGATTTTTATCTGCAGCAAGGTGGGGGAACCTTCTCAAAGGATACACAGGCCCTGCTTTCTCTTACAGCAATTCTGATATCCTTCCTCCAACGGCTCACCAAAGTAAGCCACCCTAAAATGTGTTGCAAGGGAAATCAAAAGTTGAGAATGGCTATTCTACAATAAAATTTATTTATTCATTCATTGACTATTTATTAAGGGTTTGCTATAGTCTCCATGTATGGTACCCAAGTTAACAGCAACTAACAATAGCAACAGTACTTGAAGTAGAAGGATATTAGTCGTCCTGTGATAGACATCAAAGAGCTCAGGTGGTTCAGTAGTAGAATTCCCACCTTGCATGTGGGAGACCCAGGTTTGATTCCCAGTAAGTCTACCTCCTACACAGTCACTGCCCATTGTCAGTGGAGGCCTGTGTGCTGCTATGATGTTGAACAAGTTTTAATGGCACTTCCAGACTAGGATAGATTATTAAGAACGAATTGACAATCTCATTCCAGAAGTCAGCAAATGAAAGCCCTGTGGACAATAATGATCTTATTTTCAGCTGATACAGGGTTGGGGCAAGACTGAGCAACATTTTGTTCCAGTGGCCATGAGTCAAGGTGGACTTTGTGGCAAGTATTCACAACATACTTGAAGCACCATTTATACATTATAAAAGATCTAGGGATTGGATTATGTCATCAAGACTGTGGGAGTGATGAGTTCAGCCAGTTCATAGAGTACATGCCAGTGCAGTGCCATGAAGAAGGGGAAAATGTTACTTCTAGCAGGGATCCAGAAAGGCTTTATGATGGAGATAGCATTTATTTGGTCCTTAAAGCATGGGTAGGATGTGGACATGTAGAGCCATAAGAGAGGGGAAATGTATGCAGAGGCACAGAGACTCACTGAACGGTGCCATTGAATAAGAATATGGAAAATAAAGTTGTAAAGGTGAGAGAAGACAGGATCATGAGGACCTTGAATGTCAAGCTCAAGAGATTGGACTTGATCCTGCGGCCAGTAGATGCCGGTGGGAGATTTTTTAACAGGAAAATAAAATAAAGAAAGTAATCTGAAATATCATCAGATACTAATATACACAGTAGGTTGAAGGAGGGAATTATGGGTAGAGGAGAAACTGGAATGGAAATAAGGTTTGGACTACTTTAGTGGATATGGCTGTTGTTGTTAAGTGCCATTGAGTCAGTTATGATTCATAGCTAGCCTGTATAGGGTTTCCAAGGAGCAGCTTGTGCTTTAAACTACCAACCTTGCTGCTGGCAGTTCAGTGTTTAACCTACAGTGCCACACCAGAATGAAGAAGAAGTGACAACTGATTGTCCAGACAGTTGATTAAATATAAGGTCAAAGGATGATTCTGAAATTTTACCACAGTTAACTCACTAAACGGAGCCCTGGGGTGGCACTGTGGGATGAAGCACGGGACCACAAGGTAGGTTTGAACCATAAAGTTGGAGGTTCAAACCCATTAACCATTCCTCAGACCCTAGACTTAACACCATCAACAACAATTCACTAAATAAAAAACATAGAAGAACAAGTTGAAGGGGAAATGATGCCTTCTTTTTCAGCATTCGTGCTTAAAATCCCAGAAAGTTATACAGGTGGGAAAGATATGCACATTATTTCAAAATAGACAACTGTATTCTTGGGACTCAAATGTTGGTGTGCCATGGAGATAGAGGTGAAAAATTGGAAGAATTTATTTAAATGGTTAGTCTGGAGGTAGAGAAGGATATAGTTTAACAAGGAACAGTCATGGCAAGATGCCAGGCATTTTTATGGGAAGATTCTAGCCTTTAAGGAAACTGAAAAAAAAAAAAACAGCTCGTCTGCTTCATTTATAGACCAAAGTTTGGCGGGAAGTACTGCACTGGAGAAAGAAAACGCTATCGCCTATGCAACGTCCACTCCTGCCGCTCGGATACACCCACATTTCGGCAGATGCAGTGCAGTGAGTTTGACACCGTTCCCTACAAGAATCAATTCTACCGTTGGTTTCCTGTTTCTAATCCAGGTGAGGGGCTCTAACAGTGTGTCTCAGATCTAGGGACATAGCCATTATCGGGAAACACTGACATAGTAAGGTGTCTGTGAAGGTTACAAGGCTCAACAAAGAGAATTATGCCATCAAGCCCTGATCCTCAGGAGTTTCATATTTCAGAAAAACCCGAAGAACTGATGTGTTAAGTTGTTCACTAATTATTAAAGGCTGAAAATTTCCACCTCTGTGCAGGGCTCTGGGAGTAAAAGAAGAGTTTATTAAACGTGGTGACTGATCTTAAAAGAACTGAACATGTAGATATCCAATATTTAATTGCTGATGAAATTGCTTCTTGATGGAATATATGTAGAATTGATTCTGATTTGGGCAGAAAATCAGAAAAGAAGGTCATTGTGGGTTTGGAGTAATTGTGAAGAAAGCTTCAAAGGAGGCAATTAATGATTTTAAGCATGAGTAGTCTTTATTTTGGCAGAAGGAAGCAAGAAGGCATTCAAAAAAGAGTCGAGTCATGCCAGGTGGGAGGAAAATAGCTCTAGAGGAGACAGATGCGGGTAATGGCTTCCTCAGAATTGCATGAGAGCCAGCTCAGGACCAGAAATCCACATTTCAGGTGGACAGGACAGCTTATTTTACTGAGTAAAATAAGTCTTCTAAAGGAGCCCTGCTATGGTGCTATAGGATAAGCACTGGACTGTTAACCACAAGGCCCATGGTTCACACCCACCAACTACTCCTTGGAAACCCTATACAAAGGTCACTATGAGTCAAAACTGACTAGATGGAAATTAATAACAACAACAAAGGATGTGTGCAGTCCTTGGGTGGCAAAGACAATTTGCTGTCAGCTTCTGACCAAAATGTTGGTGAGTCTGATCCATCCAGCAACACCATGGAAGAAAGGGCTGGCAATCTACTTCTGTAAAATTACCAGGGCTTCAACCCCATTCATTCTGAGGTGACCACTGCTGAGAAGATCCTGACTCAAAATCTATATTCAGCAAGCTCCCCAGGTGATTTTTATAAGTTTTATGTACACATAAGAATTACCTGGGAATATATATATGGAGTGGAAGTGCAAATTCTCAGCAGACAGTCAAACTGGAATGAACTGGTTCAAACCCTGAAGATTACAGTCATTGAAAATCCTATAAAGCAGTTCTACTCTGAAACACAAGGAGCTCTGGTAGCGTAGTGGTTACGAATCAGGTTGCGAACCGCAAGGTCAGCAGTTCGAAACTACCAGCTGTTCCAAAGGAGATAGAGGAGGTGTTCTGCTCTCGTAAAAATTTACAGCCTCAGAAACCCTGTACAGAGTTGCTATGAGTCAGAACCGACTTCACAACACATAACTACACCACCATTCTGAAACACACATCGCCACCATGCACTGTAATTGACACCATGGCAACGAGTCTGATTTGGGGTAAAGATATGCATCCAAGGAAAGGCAGTTGGAGAATGAAATAGTAGCTTTGGCAAAGCTTGTTCTGAGTAAGTACAAGTTACACATTCTCCTAAGATTGAGGAAGACTCAGTGACCCCTGTTGTTACTAAGTGTTGTTGAGCCAATTCTGACTCATAGTGACAACGTGTATAGGATTTCCAAGGAGTGGCTGTAGGTTTGAACCACTAATCTTGTGGTTAGTAGTTCAGTGTTTAGCCTACAGTGCCACACCTGGACTCCCAGTGACAAGTAGCTACAGATTAATATCAAAAAACATCTGGTCTGTGTTATTTGTTGTTATTTGAGTAGAGGATGAAACAGAAAAAAATTCCTGAGATAGGAGGATTTGAGTCAAAGGAACAAAATATGTGCTAGCCAAATAGATTGTGAGTTTTAAGTCCTTGAACTACTACTTGTTTTATAGGACATAAGAGGAATCATGGATGTTGACCAAAGAGGAGGAATTATACATTACAACTTTGGTTCTCCAAGATATCCTGAGAATTCTCAGTTGTCAAAGGCAATGTCTGCCCCTTAGTCTCTATTATTTAACATCATTCATGCTCTAGAGAAGTGAGTCACTTGGTCATTGGTATAATGCAGTTTACTAGGCTTGGAGTTTGAATACAGGAAAATTCATGTATTTACTCACATGATCTCTAGAAATAACTAAGAGTGAAAGTTACATCAAGTCAGCACTATCTATACCTACATCTGGATGTCCTCAATTCTGTTGAAACCACTAGGGTCAATATTCCAAAGGACACTGACTCTTCAGCCTTCCAGAAGTAGGACAGCGGAGCTTCCTCAGTGTCACCTGCATCACCAGGGTTGGTGCCACTCAATGCAATAACTCATACTGTCACACACCCTCCCATGAATCTCCTCCTGCACAGGACCGTATATAATCCTTTATAATGTTTATTTCCAAATGTAATCATAGAATAATGTATAAGAGGTATAATTGTAAATTGCTAAATGTAATGTTCCTTATGCTATGTTAAGTGCCATCAAGTTGGTTGCGACTCATAGCGACCCTGTATAGGGATTCCAAGGAGTGGCTTGTGGGTTTGAACCATCGACCTTGAGGTTAAAACCGACCTTTTGGTGCAGTGCTTACCCTACAGCATCACACCAGGATCTAATGTTCCTTGTTGTTGTTGTTATGTGCTGTGGAGTCAGTTCCGACTCATAGAAACTCTGTACAGAGTTTCCGAGGCTGTAAATCTTTATGGGAGCAGAAAGCCATATCTTTCTCCCACGGAACAGTTGGTAGTTTCGAACTGCTGACCTTGCGGTTCACAGATTATATAAATACTAATAGCACTGCAGTGTAGTGAATTATTTATGTCTCTCCTAGCCATTGTTGCTGTTGTTGTTAAGTGCCGTTGAGTTGGTTCTGACTCATAGTGACCCTGTACAGAGTTTCCAAGGAGTGTCTGGTGAGCTTGAGCTGCTGACTTTGTGATTCAAACTGGCTTTGCAGTCTAGCCTATTATCCTGCAGTGCCACACCAGGATAGTCCTTGTAAACTCCAACCAAATGTTTTTGTCCTTCTGGATCTGGGTATGAAAAGTTGGGAGAAGATTCTGATAGGATCACATGGTTCAGTTGTGAGTGATTATAAAAACTTGGAACTCTGATATGTATAAAATGGGCCATCTCAGAAGCAGAAGGAAGATCTGACTACCTTCAAAGAAGAAGAGCCAAGAGTGGAGCATGTCCTTTGGACCCAAAGGTCCCTGCATATTGAACCTCCTTGAACCAAGGACAGAAAGCTGTGATGCTAGAGGAACAGCAGCAGCAGTAGAATCAAGAGCCAGAGCATGAGAAAGAAAAGAGCCAGAGCTTTCCAGCCCACAGAGCAAGGAAAGATGAGAGACTTTGGGCAGGACACTTACATGCATTGATCCTGGGGTACCCCCAAGAACTTAATTGGAGGAAGGCTAGGTTTGCAGACCCACAGAGCTAGAGCCTCGTGACTTCAGGGTTTGGCTTATAGTAGCATGGTGTGTCCTGTGGACCTTTATCTGCAAACTAAAGGAGTTTTGTTAACCTTACCCTGGCAAAGACAGGTCTGCCTGAGGTCACAGATGAGGAAAGTCTGTCCTGACTAAAAGAACTGGTCTTGTGCATTTTCTGATCCTGACTTGCAACCTGTTAACTTCCTTATTAAACCCCATAACTGTGAGTATGATGTCTTAGTTCTGTGTGGCCATTACAAGGAATTTTCAAACACAAATGAGAAGTAGAGAATGCCATGGGAGGGATGATTGATGTTGCATTTGCAGTTTGGTGTCAGAAGCGTGGTTCATTGCAATGGCTTCAGACTCATGGAACAATGAGGTTTATTTGAAAAAGAACAAAGGGGCATGGAAAGGGAAACTTTTGATTTTTCAATGGTTATTTTGCTTATTGTTATCTGTAATGGCTCAAAAGCATGCTCTAGAGGGGAGAGAATCTGCTATTGGAATCACCTGGGACAAAAGCCCATCATACCTCTGTCATTTCATCTACTGTGCTGGCCTGTGTGTTCCTGTGATGCTGGGAGCTATGTCACTGGTATTCTAAATACCAGCATGGTTACCCCTGGTAGACAGGTTTCAGCTGAGCTTTCAGACTAGCACAGAATAGGGAAAAGGTGAGGCAGATTACTTCTGAATGTTTACCCACTTCAAACCTTATGGATAGCAGTGGGACATTGTCAGATAATGTCAGAAGATGAAAAATTATTTATTTATGTTGTTGTTGTTGTTAGGTGCCATCAAATCAGTACCTACTCATAGTGACCTTATGCACAACAGAACCAAACACTGCCCAATCCTGGGCCAACTTCACTATTGTTGCCACGCTTGAGCCCATAGATGCTGCCACTTTGCCAGTCCATCTCGCTGGGATCTTCCTCTTTTTTCTCTGACCCTCCATCCTATCAAACATGATATCCTTCTCCAGTGACTGGTCCCTCCTGACAATATGTCCAAAGTTTGAGAGATGAAGTTTGGGCATCTTGGCCTCCAAGGAGCACTCTGGCTGTACTTTTTCCAACACAGATTTGTTGGTTCTTTTGGCAGCCTGTGGAACTTTCAATATTCTCCTTCAACACCATAACTCAAAAACATCGATTATTTTATGCTCTTCCTTATTCACAGTCCATCTTTTGCATGCAGATGAGGTTATTGAAAATACCATGGCTTGAGTCAGACAACCTTAGTCTTCAAGTTGACATCTTTGCTCTTCAACACTTTTAAAAAGTTCTTGTGCAGCAGATTTGACTAATGCAATATGTCGTTTGGTTTCTTGACTGCTGCTTCCATGAGTGTTGATAATTGATCAAAGAAGAATGAAGTCCTTGACAATTTCAATCTTTTCCCCATTGATAAGAATGTTGTTTATTGGTCCAGTGGTGAGGATTTTTGTTTTCTTGACATTGAGATGCAATCCATACCGAAGGCTGAATATTATGAGATATAGTGCCTGAAGATGAGCCCCTCAGGCTGGAAGGCACTCAAAATATGTCTGGGGAGAGCTGTCTCTTCAATTGTCTACTGAGAACTTCATTTGCTGATGG